GTGATCCTGCTTTGAGCAGGAGACGGACCAGACTGGGTCCCTGCCGGGCTGAGGCAGCCACAGATTGTCTGAAAAGCCTCCAGAGATGCCAGGGGAGGTTATTTAAACTTCAGACATAAACCTTGTTGCTACAGAAAGCTGGGTGACAGCAGCTGACTTCCAGCTGCAGTGATCCCAAAGCTCGGTGTGAGTTCTCAGTCGGTGCCGTGGCCGAGGCACGCATTTGGCCTGGGGAGAGTTCAAGCCTTCCTCGGGAGGAAGAGGATTGCAGTGCCCAGCGGGGTTTGCAGTTGTTTGTACCTGGAAGATGGGGAATTCTGTTGATTCAGAAAACTGTTGCTTGCTGCTCAAGGAGAGTACGGCTGTGTCTTCCCCTCCCTAATTTTCATAAATCTGACATGGTGTACAGGTGTGGTTTATCTTAAACCATACTGCTTCAAACCAGCTGTGGTATTATTAGTTTTAATTTATTTAGAGAAGGTTATTACATGATCCTTGGCAAGCTGACTAGGCAGTGAGCTATAAAGAATGATCTAAATTCTGGTCTAGCAGAAGTACTGTACAAAATCCTGCACCAGTGCATTACAAACAATACTTTACTTGTAACACTTATGTAGCAAATTACAAGAGTGTTACTATAGGGTTAGGTAGCTAAGCCTGGTCCACCAGCACTCTAATAGCTGTGCTGCATTGCTCCCTGACAGACATTAGCCCTTTGGGGAGCCCTCCTCCCTTGCTTTTGTTTCTTCAAGGCCCCTAAGAAGCTGCTTATGCTTGAGCTGACTCCCAGTTCTCTGTGTGCTACTGGTTAGCCAACCAGTTCCCACATCTGCTGGGCAGGCAGTGACCGTGTTGCAACACGAGTCAGCGTGGTGCTGGGTTTCCTTCAGCAAAAGAGCTCATTTGGTTGCAGTTCTTCAGCCTGTAAAACTGTATAAACCTAGAACCTCAACATTTCTGTCAGCTTTTACAGAATTTGTTGATGATGGCAGCATTTAGGGAGTGTGTGGGGTTAGGGAGGGGATGTACAGGTACCCTGGAACTAATTACACCTTGTTTCCTTATGAAACTGGTTAAAAATTGCAGTTAGAATTTGAATGTGTGTAACTGTTTGGGTAAAGCCATCATGTGCAATTGTACAAGATGTTTTTCATTGTTTAACCAACTTTCAATCATCGGTATGTACAGAATCATAATATTGTTCCTTCCCTGATCCCATGCTTGTCAGAGGAAGCCAGGACACATCAACTTTCTTGGTTTCATACATTTGATGTGTCTGAGCCTGCGTGTTGCCTTAAATCGAAAGGAAGAGGGTGTTCAGAAATTGGCACCTTTTCCTATTAGTGGTCATTTTATTATTTCTATGCCAGGTGTATCCCATCCATCAGTGATGAAATGTCTTCAGTTTCTGCATGGGGCACGCGGTCAAGAAGAGCTAAAAGCCTTAGAGTAACTGTAAGTAATTTTACCTAGGCTGACAAAAGCCTTTTTGCCAGAATCAGATTAGTGCTGCTGGTGGGTTTTTGTAAGCTTTGCAATTGTATTATACCTCAGCCAAAGCATCAGGCTCAAAGGTGATGACTTCAACCTTGCATCTCTTGCCTTTTCCGTGTTGTGTTAGATATTGGTTACGATTATGCTTTTTTCCCTGAAGGTTAAAGAAATGCTGTGATCCAAAAGCTATTAAGCATTTGTTTAACGTCAAAAAGACACTTAGAGCTAAGCACATATGAAAGAGTTTACAGTTTCAGGGTTCTAGGATGGAAGGATCTGATGGTTTCCTGTTGACTTTTCTTAACTAAACTGTTAAATGAACGCTCCTCTTCTCCCCTCCACCTTTCAAATTTTTCTTAATAACCAGATGGTGTTGGTTGCTGGAAGCCTTGATTTGCTCACTTGCTCTAAGACTTTGGACTCTAATGACTATTACAGATACCTGCTATCAATCCATCTGTATTTGGTCTTTAATAACTGTGTTAAAAGCAGAAAATACCAGAAGCAGAGAAAAATACTCGTATTGATCTTAGCTTTACAGCAAAACAGTGTGCAGTTCAAAATGGCAGATGCTACTGAAAGCAAGCTCAGACTTTAACCAAAGCTGGCCATTGTTGCTCTCTGGCACAGAGGGAAATGTTGTTATTTCCTTATTCACAGGTCTCCTTTCCTTGTTTCGCCCTTTCCTGTCTGTGGGAGAAGAGCCATGAAGAACCGTTCCTCATCTCCTCCTTTACACGTCCATGTGGATGAAAACACCCCTGTCCATGTCCATATTAAAAAGGGTCAGAAAACCACACCTGCAAAACGTCAGGTAGGAGCGTATAGCTGGGTGTTTGTAAGGGCTGCAGAGAGGAAGGTGAATGGTCCTAGAATCACCACAAAATCTTCAAGGTCTGTTTTACCATTGTATCAGAACGGTGAGATTTTAATATTCAACGGTGAATTTTCAGTAATGTGTCTTCTGTGTTTTAAGATGATTTAAGCATGATGCAGGATATCTAGTTACTTTTTGTGCTCAAGTGATTGTGAGGAGTGTTGCTTCCAATGTCAAGTGGTTTGGGGGATTTTTTTTTTCCTTTTATTTCCTGAATTTCTGTCCTGCTAATGCTTTTTCTTTAGCTTCATCCCTATTTTTCTAGGAAAGTTTTGGGGCAAAGGTAATATCTAGGCATTTCAAATTCCATCTTGATTGTATTAAACTAAATGTGTTTAGAAACAAACAGTCTGAATTCAAACCATCTGCTGGCATTAAGCACCTTCTCAGTCTCCTGAGCTATGCAGCAAAGAGGACCTCTTCACAGCCTTATCCACAGTCGGTAGAAAGCCATACTGCAGTTGAGTCTCTAGCTAGCTCATAGCCTCTTTTGTAGTTGGATGTTTATGTAAAGTTGTTCTCAAAAGGTAATGGAAGTTGCTAGCTTAGTCTTCCTTACGTGCAGACACCCTGTTCTAAATCTTCTATTGATTTTGTATTTGTTGCTAATGGCAAATATCATAATGGGGTAGGGCCTGACAGTGAAACCAATGACTCCCATTAATTAATTACCTCTAGTATATTTAGAATATTTGATTTTTCTCAAAGGTTAGAATTGTGCAGAAATGCTTTAATTTTTCTTCGGTTAGAGCACCTCGAGTTCAATAAAAATAAATGTGGAACTGTTGACTGCAAAGAAGGCAAAACACTTCAGAGGCTTTTCATAACCAGTCACAGAGTTGGGGCTGTTCAGCCTGGAGAAGAGCAGGCTCTGGAAGGACCTTATTGCAGCCTTCCAGTTCCTGAAGGGGTCCTACAGGAAAGCTGGGCAGGCACTTGTTACAAGGGCAGGTAGCAATAGAATGAGGGGGAATGGTTTTGAACTGGAAGAGGGGAGATTTAGGCTGGATATTAGAAGGAAATTCTTTCCTGTGAGGGTGGTGAGACACTGGCACAGGTTGCCCACCGAAGTTGTGGATGCCCTTTCCGTGGAAGTGTTCAAGGCCAGGTTGGATGGGGCTTTGGGCAACCTGGGCTGGTGGAGGTGTCCCTGCCCATGGCAGGCATCCCAGGGACTGGGTGAGCTTTAAGGTCCCTTCCAACCTAACCCATTCTGTGATTCTATTAGTTTTTCCTCTGGTTGTACTGTTGTCAAATGACACAGTTGCTCTTTTGTGAGATGAATGTGGAAAGGAGAAGGGATTGCCCAGCTTGTTCCTCCTTCATGTGAATGAGTTGCATTGTGCTTTGGGTTTTTTTGTGTATCTCCGTACAGAGGAGACTTCCTTCTCCCAGCTTCCCCGGTCTCCCACCCCTGGCCTGCTGTAAGGCTCTCATGACATCACAAGTGGAGGTGTCTAGTGATAGTACAGAGTTACTACATGATAAACAAGAAGATTTTACAACGTCTAGCCATGCTGCCAACTGAATGGACAATAACCTTTCCTCTGGCTCGTGTTGGCTTCCTCTGATGGCTGCTGACTTGTCTGATCTGATGTATTGCAAAGCACAATGTCATATTTTTGTACAAATGAACTTTCATTTGGTTTTGCAGCAATAAAAATTGTAAATGGTTCTTTAAAAGTCTATGACTTGTTTTATCTTTCTTTAGCCAAGGCACAAACAGAAAACGGTGGAGGATACCATGAATGTGCACCGACCTGTCCGGGTGAAAGCTAAGTGCCCATGGATACCTCCAGGCAAAACGTGTGTCCGGAACTCCACCTTCAAATGGGAGGTATGGCTGATTTTGCTCTTTAAAACAAACTTTCAGGTTTATCTGAGGCTGAAGAGAGCAGTTGTGTAGTGAGTGTCGCATACAGGTTTAAGGATGGCAGACTAGGCTGTATGTACAAACAAAGCAAAATTCTAAGTTACAATAATGTAATTGGGCTAAAGGACATAAGTAGGAATGCATACTATGCCATGTAAGTGCTATAGCAATTACTTACTAATTTGTATTTACTAGATCTAGAACAATAACTGAAGTAACATTTTAAAGCTAGCCTAATTATTACATAGGGATTGATGTTACCCACCGTACCTGGTGACTGTGGGTAGTTCCTTTTCTCTCAACCTCCAAGAATCAACAGTTGGAGGGGTGTCTGCGCTCAAGGAGGGGAATGATCAAACACACCTCATGGGGAAAGTGTGTAAGAATCCCACCTGGACAAGAATGGGACAGGGCTTTCCTAGAATAAAGTGATTGACTGTCGATCATTTGTTGCTAAGCTGAACATCCTTGCTCAGCAATCCTTCTAGCTTAGCAAAATATCTTCTCTCATAAGAATACCGTCTCCTTCTATTTCTCTGTCTGGGTCCGGCTGGTGCGGAGTGTTTTCCAGCACCAAAGCATGGTGTGACCTTCTAGCAGATCTGATAGTTTTCTTTCACCACAGCACACAGAGTAGGGCATGTGTGGAGCCTTCCCCCACTGAGGCAGAGCATCCTGCTGCAGTGAGGGAGCTGGGCTCGTCTGAAAGAAGGCTACTGTCACCTACCACCTATTTATAAATCCTTTTTGAATCTTTTTCACTTTTTAACATGCTAAAATTGGAAATGAATTAACAGCCTATGGTCATATCATGCCTTTCTACCTCTAGAAGCCAGACAAATGTCTTTGTTTATTGTAGTTTCACTAGTTCCCTTTCAGACCTCATCTGGAGGCACAGTCAGGGGCTGCTGTTCTCTTCCGAAGCATGGAGCACTTCTTCAGTATTGTGTAATATTTTCTTGTTCATGGATTCGTAGTTTTGCCTTTTGTATTCGTGGCTCTTCCTAGATGAGAATGTGAACTTTGGGGTTTTTTTTCCCTTTTTCTGTTCTAATCTTTTTCCTAATGGAAATGAAAGACCCACTTACAAATGGTATTTTCCTTACTAGCCTTATTGCACTGATGCGTCTTGGTCTCTGTTTTTGGCAGAGTTAGAGTTAGAATACTGTTTATAACTTTATACTAAAAAAAATATGCCCTTTATTGCTTTTCTACCAGGGACCAACTCACCGCCTAGAAATTACACCTCCAGATTCAGAAAAAACGCTGTCAGTATTGCGCAGGAGTGACCTCTCTACAGATGAGGAGGATGCTGTTTATTGCAAAATGAATGAATACGAAAAGCAGGTCAATAACCTGAAGAATGTGGCAGGAACGCTGGAAAATGAGGTGAGGAGGCAATGTAATGACCTGATGGCTTGGGCTTTGTAGCTGATCATTTGGCAAGAGGAGGCTGGAGGCTGAAGTCAAGTCTTGGTGCGATGGAAGACTACCCGCAACATTGGTAGCTTGCTTTGATTTTTATTTTTTCTTCTTTAATCTGAGTTGTTTAGAAGAGCTGAACTATCCTAGTGAGATCTTAAGCCCTACTATGAAACGTTTTAAAACATTATCCATTTAATAAAGTATGCTTCAGTTTCCAAGTAATGCCTTCTTCAAGACCAAATCTGGAACAGTAGTTCAGTCCCCCTCTACGTTCTCTCTTCTTTCACATCTTTAGCTGTTTGTACTGCTTTTAACTGCCAAATGGGATACATGTGTCATTCATGAGGAACAATGTTCACCTTCTGAGCCCCACTCAGCACTTGAGTAGTCTGCACACAGCTCCAGTCACACTACCAGCAGTGATACTGAGCTGCCACAGAATGTCCTGGGTAATCCAAAATGAGTAGATGGAAACAAAACGCCAGGGACGATTTAAGTTGGTTTCACCCAGGTCCCTGGATCTTACAAAGCAATAGTGGAGCACTGGGAGCCATCTCCAGTGTGTGAGCTGCTACCAGAGCTCCTGTCCTGCCATGTTTGTGGTCTGTCACATGTCTCATGGCTGATGACAGTTTTGTGGTATGTGACTTACAGCCAGGACGTTTGTGTCTTCCTGTGTTTGTGGGATGGGAAGCATTTCCAGGCAATAAATGAATTATGCCATTTGTGCACAGGAAGAGGCTGGAAGTATCTAGGGGGAATTTATTTTTTTGTTTTAAAAAAAGCATGGTCCTTAATTTGGTGTAGCTGAAGAACTGACTTGGTGGTTTGAGACGTGGAGTCTGTGTATGACTTAAGACAAACCAGGGGCTTTTAATGTTCTATTTTAAATATCTTCATCAGGCCAAGCTGCAGAAAACAAAGGAAGTGAAGAAAATGACGAAGCGTCTCCTTGAGGAGCAGAAAGAAGAACTGAATGAGGTCACACAAGAGCTGGTAGAAACAGAACATGAGAATATACTGCTCAGGCGCAGTATTGAACGCATAAAGGAAGAGAAAGATCTGACTGTGTAAGAAAGCTCCAGTTCTCCACTGCTACTGCAAGTTGTGGTATTTACAGTGGCACCTACCTCCTGCATTGCTAACATTATTTGAGGTTGTAGTTTGTACCCTGGGTTGCAGTGCTGCTGAAGAACTGATGTTCTTGGATTTGTTGTCATGTTTTAGAAGGGGGGCTTCAGGTGGCAATAGCTGCAGAGAAGGGCTCTAGTGTGATAACTGGAATGGAAAAAATCATCTGAGAAGAACCTGGAAGCATTTGGCCTGTGTGGCCTACTGGAGGGTCATCCTAGCTCTGCAATTACAATTTTGAAGGTTAAGAGAAACTGTTTGCATTGTGATGACATTGGCAGAACAACAAATGAATAAACAGGGAGTTGAAAGTTAGAAGTGAATTTTTGGCCTTTGTGGAAATGGTACTGAGACAGAAGTGACAGCCCCTGCCAGGACTTGGGGTTTTTTCTTAGTGACCCCGAAGGTCTCTAAATCTGTCATTTTTTAATCTGCTTTGTATGTAAAGAGTTAGGGAGGTTTGTGTCTCCAGGGGGACGCTGGTGTTTTAAGAGAGTTAGTTTTATTTTTTTGCTTAAGAAAGGTTACTTGGAAGTTAATGCTGTATATTCCTTTTTCAGAAAATTCTGTGAATACTTCTGAGATTATCAGCCCTGGCTAAAAACTTTGAGCTGTGTATCTTGGTGTGCATTCCTGTTTTATGTTCGGCCATATGGAGTCTTATTTCTGGTGTGGCTTAAGTGCCCAGGAAAAGGACAGCGTTGTGTTTTGGGTTTAATAGTGTGTGCAGGCTTTGGTGTAAGCCAGATTTGTCCACTCTACATTACTGTTTCATCACTATGATCCTAGCAAGCTCCTGGTGTCTGCTTACTGGCTTCTGCACAGAAAGATGGTAAATCTTAAGTAGTGTTTGTTTAGAACTTTTATGCTCTGATTCAAGGCATTTTATGAGTTTTAACCCAATTAACTGTGTATCAGTAGTGGCTGGTACAGCTGCCAAAGTTTCTTGTTTCTCTGATGGTTGAATTCTCATTACAGGCTACAGAAAAATCACTTGCAGGAGGAGAAAGAATCTTTGATGAGCAAGCTAAGCTGAGTAAGGCAGAGGTGGATGCAGCAGCAGCAGCCAGGCAGATCCAGGCCCTGAAAAATACGATTGGGAGACTCAATATTGTAGGTGTTGTCCTTTTATGTTCTAGTTTTTATGATATTGTCCTGTTATGAAAAATACTGTAAAAATGGCTGTATTGAAAATGTAATATTGCAGTTGCTGATCCAGAAAAATGTAAGGAAAATTGGAGGGTTTGAACATGCTTAAGGTGTTTGCTAGTTTTGTTTGGAAGTGGGGTGTTTACTTGCAGCATCCAGTCACCTCCTGCACACGTGGTGCCGACCATTGCACTGCTCCTGCTTGTGTCAGCTCCGTATGTTAATTCCATATGAACAATTTTTATTCTTTCTTTTCTTGTATTTCCTCTAGGAGAAACACACATCCAGCTCAGACATTAGCACGCTAACAAGACAAAAAGAGCTGCTGCTCCAGAAATTGTGCACCTTCGAAGAAACCAACCGGGCACTACGAGAACTTCTCAGACAGCAGCATAACTGGGAGGTGAGCAGTGCCGTGTGTCAGCTTGGATGATTACAGGAGATTGTGTTGTCTTTTTTTTTTTTTATCCCTGCCTATGTTATAGAGTAAGACTGATGTTTTTTGCTGTGAGGTTATCAGAGCATCTAAATCTTTGGCTGTATTAAAAGATATAAGCACTACTATGTTGCCAACTCCTTCTCATCTGGATAAAGCTGTATCTGCTAATCGTGCTAGGCTGAAATGTTACTGCTGCAGTTGGTTGCATTGGCTGAAGTCTGAGGACCAGCTGTGGCCTTAGCTAATGGGAGCCCAAGGATGTTCAGAACATTTTTGTTGTAGGCTGTAAGAGCAATAACAGAGAAATTGTAAACAATTCTGTGCTGCTTGTACAGAACAATTCTATGCTGCTTGTAAGCCAATACAGAAATGAAATTGCTATTCTTCCTGTAGTTTATATTCCATTTGAACAAAAGCAAAGGCAAATGGTAAGAATTCTTTAAGCCACCAGTGAGGCTGGATAAAAGGAATGAGTTCTTCCACGTGACTTTCCCTGAGTAGTGAGAGGATTCTGAAATATCCACTGTGCTTTTTATTATCTTGGACTATGAGAAGAGGAAAAGCTTTCTGAGATGGGTGGAATATGTGAAATATTTACCAAATTTGAAGATGCAGAGTATCTGCTGAGAATTGTTGCTGTAACTGAGGGGAATTGGTTGATGTACCCAGTTCTGTCTGAAGAATCTGTATAAAATTGACTTTTTAGGGGTTTTTTACATATTTATTTTGTAGAAGGGTGCTCAGAAGGTATTGGAGCAGCAAGAAACACTGCTAAGAAATCTGGCTGTGTATGATACAGAGAATGTGGTAAGCAACCCAAAATTTCTTTCTCTCTCTCTTTTTTTAATATGATAAAGCAGAGAGATCTAAAATTACAAGCTCTTTTTTATCTTGTCTTCAACCATCAAGTTTTACACCAATGCCTTTTAGACCAATAAAAGACATTTTGGCTTTTGTGGTAATCAGAGCCATTACATTGCTCCTCTGGTTAACAACATACATTTCAAAGTAGTTTAGTTTTCCTGGCCTTTGAAATAAGGGGCCTTATCGTGGAGCTAGCACAACTGAGACCTACACATAGGATTTATGCCTAGAATTGGCGTAGAATCCTACGCCATTAGGATTTACAGTATTCAGCTATAAAAGACAATTTAAGCCTGTTCTCATTATGTTGTTCAGTTCAAGCACAAATTATTGTGCTTACCTTTTTCTTCTGGTACTGAATGTACAGAACAAAAATTGTACAATGTATCTCTTTAAGAAGAAGACTCTGGGGATGGGAGAGGAAAAAAAATATCTACCACCTGACAGTCGGGATAGATTTCTTCAGTTTGGAAATAATCTTGTTTCTGTACTGTTTATCATGTTATCCTTAGAAACAGACAAGCAGAAAGAGCGTAAGCTTTCTGTACCCACTTTTTTCACTGTGTGAGTGACCTGGTGCCAGTTTTTGTTCACTTCCTTATCTGTAAACCGAGAAGAGAGTTCTTACGTTGCCAGAAGTTATAAAACTTACTGTGATGCACAGGTGATTCCGTGTTTTGTTGTTTCTTTTTGTCTGTGGAGTATAGAGTCCTGTGAGGTCCTCATTCTTGACTGGGTGTCCTATGCCCTGTTACACAAATGCACGTGTAGCCATTTTGCTTTCTGCTTAAGGAGAATGCAGACTGTTTTTCCAGGGCTGAGGATGCTGTCACTGTGGATCCCAAACAGAGCGCTGTGGATCAGAGGGTCTCAGGAGGGGAGGCACTTACATTCTTTATCTCCACCTACCAACCTTAATGTGTTTCTTACTTAAAATCTGAGTGGTGTTTGTTTCCAGCAACTTCAGTTGAAGCTTCAGGAGAAAGAAAAAGAAGTGGACAATCTTACCATTCAGATACAAGCAGAAAAGGTAGTTTCCTTTTTCTGTTTTCCTCTCCCTGCTCCACCTTCCAGTTCTGTAGAACCACAGATAGTCCAAAATATGGGTTTGTATTTGCAGACGATTACTTTTTGAAGGATCAGATGACTGGCCTTCTTATAAAACTAGACAGATTCACAGAGTTGTGAATTCAATTTTCTGCTAAGACATCTATGACAAAGGTGACTAAGTAGTATTCTCTTTGCTTGGGCTTATCACTGAATTGCCTTTCTGTTTAAGGTCCTGTTGGTTCTTGATGTCAAATTCAAGTCTGTTTACGATGTAAAATGGGAATGTAGTGGAAGAGCCTAGATATGAACAACGTTTTGCCCTAGAACAAGTCTTTTAGGGCCAGTCTTTTGCATTTGATGTAAAATAAATGGCTGCTCATTTGTTGCCCATTCTGTTGGAGAAGCTGTGAAGGTCCACCTGAGGAAAGTGGAGGTGGCTGGAGATCATTCAGTGAAGAAAACTGAGACTGTTACATATTGGAAAGTGTTCCTTCTCTTAGCTTCTTGAGGAAAATGTGCGTGTATCCTGTTTTCTTCTTATTCAGGAGCAGGCAAAGACAGCATGTGAGCTCTCCAAATCTATGGAGGCTGTGAAAGGCCGTTTGCAAACGCAGCTGCGAAACAAAGAAGCTGAGAACAACCGTCTGAGTATACAGATAAAAGTATGTTTTCAGTGGTGCCTGGAGATTCTCTTAATTTACTCTCATGAACCAAATAGGCTGACAAGGGAAGCACTCATCAACTATGCTTCTACTGTGTCTGGTAGACTGAAATATTGGCTGCTGATGTTTATGGCACTAACACACACCATACTTTTCAATTGAAGTAGGAAAATAAAATGCTTTTCAGTTTTGATGCGTGAGGCAAAATCATAGCCTTAAGGTCTGTGTGCATTTATTATATTTTTTTCTGAAGTTAATTACTGCATAGTTATTGAAAAGATGGCATTGGTTTAGTCAAGCACTGAGACCAATCGTAAACTATTTGATTTGTTTTCTGGGAAAAATGCTGTGCTATGAGTTCCTGTATTTGATCACACTCATGCATGCTTTCTACAGTATTAATGAAGAGGAGAACGTTCCTCTGATTTATCTTGATCACAGTCTTATGTTTAACTTACTTGTTGGTGTTGCAATGAACGTATGTATGTTAAACCAGAAGAGCTTTAATTCTGTTAAGCTTTATAGCTGCACAAAGCAACATTGCTATATGTGAGCATTTCAATCAATAAAATAGAATGTTCTTGGGTTGATCATAAGACCGGTAGACCAGTATTTATCTTGGTCAGAAGAGGAAATCAGTATTCTAGAGAGCAGCTTATGTAAAAAGAAAGTAAGACGTTTGGGAGGAAAGGAAGGCATGTCATGCTGACGTGTCTGTCAGCATTAGGACAGGATTGTGTAGGTAAAATACGATTGCAGGTACCTCGAGGTTAGGGGTTTGTACCCAGCTCTCTCCTCCGTTTCTAGCAAATGAGGTGCTGCTTCAGGTATGCAGGTATAAGGACATCATTCCATGTGGTGTGTTTCCTCCCTCCCTGCAGAATCTTGAGCAGAATGAAGCTCAGCATCAGGCAGAAGTGGAACTTATCATGGAACAACTGAAAGAACTAAAGCAGAAGGCAGACGATGATAAAAAGGCCCTAAAGAAAGCCCTCCGTGCACAGAAAGAGCGGGCAGAGCGGAGCGAGGAGTATGCAAAGCAATTGACTGACCAGCTAGGAGAAAAGGTACTTCATAATACAGGAGGAGAGACCTCATTTCAGATCACATATCTAAATCTTTGATTTCTGGTAGCAGCCCTGGGGAGAGTCTCTGCTTTCAACTAATGAGATTTATTTCTATCTTGATGCTTTGTCCCATTTATGCTAAGTTTAGAACAAATCCAGTTTTCTTAGCTGTTCCTATATTCACTGCATGTCCTTAACTTAGGACATGCAAAAACGTAGGTGATAGCGGATCTGATTTTTTGCCTCGTTCTTTAGAACCATTTGAGGGTTGACAAAAGCCAATGAAATAAAGCTTGGTAGTTCTGGCTGAAAATACTGAATGGAGATGGTGGTTACCTGAGAAACCAGACAGAACAGAGAAGTACAGAGACTTAGAGTGTACTGGGATTTGAACTGTACTGTTGTAAAGTGACTGAAGGGTATCGAGAAAAAGTAGGAAAGGATGGACTACAACAAATCAGAAAAGAAGATGGATTTTACAGTACTCGGTGTATTTTGTTCTCTCTTGTTTTTAGAGTTCCAGGGAGCAGAACCATTTGTAGAATCTTAGGCGTGCTTTGTATTTCCGATAGTTCCTGTGCCTTCAGAGAGGATTCTTCTCTTGCTGCTGTTCTGTCTGTTAGCTGACTGTAGTGTTGGAGAACGCCTCTCTTTGAAGGATCAGGAAGGTCCTTCCTGATGTAAATACTTGTCCTCAATAATAAATATTTGTCTTCAATATTTTAAAAGTTTTAGTAACATCCCCACACACATCACACTTACCTGTATCAATATCTCTGCATATTGTCTGCATATTCCATGTCCAGTGATGTTTTTGTCACCCTTACTCTTTTCCTCATGTATTCCTTTTGTTTGATAGGACAGTTATGTTGCTGAGGCACTGTCTACTCTGGAGTCTTGGAAGAGTCGCTGCAACAAAATAGTGAAGGACAAGAGTGACCTTGAACTGGAAGTTGTCACGCTGAACAGGTTAAAATAAAATTAGTGTGGAGAAACTGCCATGAATTCCAAGCTCAAAGAGAATTTAATTGAATTTCATTGAATAATTCAATTAAATTGAATAATTTAATTGGATTGCCTGCAAACATCCATACAAAACCAGCACTGCTTAAGGGCTAGAGCAGAGTTTGGAGAGATCGAGAGAGAGAGATGTGGCTTCTGCTGCAGACTTGCCACAGCAAAGGCAGACTTTAAGGGGTTGCTGAACCCCAAAACTCTGTCTTTGCCATTTTTGATGCTTTGAAATAACTAAGGTTATTTTTCTTTTGAGATCTGTTTGAGAAACTTGAATGGAAGGGATTAGAAGAGAATAGGCAGTATAGTTCATGCCAATTTTGTTGTGAAGCTAAATAAATGTGTTGGTATCACTGCAGTGCGCTTGTTGCTGCAGGAAAAAACAGGTAGGTACGAGTCAAGAGAGAGGTACCTCTTTATTCTGCATCTTGGAGGCAGTGCATTTGAACACTTGGGGGACAACTCAAATTAATTTCCAGCAGGCTGAGAAGACTGAGGTAGTAGAACAGTGTACCAGGTAGGTGTGTGTACGTGACTGGAGGAGGAAGAGGAAAGGACAGGGAAAACTCATGTTTCTGAAGCTAATTTTCAAGGATTAGGAGTCTTTTTCTTGTCACTATCACCTAAGGATTAACTTCCATTCTGTATGGCAGCCGTGTTGCAGACTTGCTGGAGCAGCAGACAACCCTGGAGGACAAGATGCAGAAGAACAGAGAAGCTTTGTTGGATAAATTGCAGCAACAGACTGCAGAGACCGCTTCTTTGAGAACGGAGAATGAAAAACTAAAGGTCAATGATTCTAGGGGTTTGAAACTGAAATGTTAGGGGGAAAAAATGGAGAAATTAGATCATGCTTGGCCTGTGAGGACAGAGTTGAATTGCACCCATTGCTCCCATTTAGTTTCAAACCAGTTTTACCATAACCTGAGTATGACAGGGTAAGCATGCTGGGGAAGAGACGTAAAGAAAGAAAGTGAACATTCTAGGAGGACTGGGTTTCTTCCACATTTTGATTAGGAGTATCTCCAATCCAAGTACTGTTTCTTCCAGCTAGGATCTTACATGTTATCCTGGCATCTTCATACTGCTGGCAACAGAACAAACAACTGTAGCTCATGCAGAGAGAATGGTAATCTCCACAGTAATAATAAAAAAATGCCTGGCATATTTCTCCTGTCATCTCTCTTATCACTGATGATCTTATAGGTTACCTACATAAATATCTTCTTAGAAAGCTAGGCACTGATCCAAAGAAGGAGTGGCCCTAATCCAAGTAGCACAGCCCATTCAGGCAAATGGAAAGATTGCACATCCGTCGCAAACCTTTGTGATCTGCTGGTGTAAATTTGGCAGTCCACCGAGGTCTGGAAAGTTTTGCCAACTTACACCGGCAAAAGTCTTTTTTCATAGTCTAGACAATGTTAGACAGCTACTGTGGCAGTTACTTCCAAGCACTCCATGGAAGAGGTTTTCTTCTTTCAGGCCAGTGTGGTGTCGATGGAGGAAAAGCTGAAGGAAGCACAGATGGAAGTTTTGCAGCTCAGGAGCTCTGTCAGGAGCTCTGAAGAGTTGATTGAAACCTACAAGTCACAGGTAGGCATCTTACCAAAACCTTCAGCCCTTGCACAGTCATATTTTTTCCTCCCTTCACTGTTGTGGGTTATTCTGTAATGCCTTAACCCTTTGTTTACTCTTGGAGGATGTTGCAGGTTCATTTGGTTTTGGTTCTTCTGTCTCTGTTAGCTTGACTTTTTCTCAAATGGCAGCATCCTGACTGCCATGTGCTGCAGGCCAAAGCGTGGAAGACTTGCTTTCGCATGATGTCCCGTAACTTGGTCATTAGGAGAAGCTGATTCTCACAGCAGAGATCTTGATTAATAGAAAACAAGAGACTGGTTTTAATTATTTCACTTTTCCCTGCTCCTTTCCAAAAGGTAAAAGAAAATAGGGAGATGCTTTCTTTATTTCTCGGCCTTTAGTGTGACAAGCACTGTTCCTGGGCTGCCTTTTTTTTGGAGGGGTGGTTGGATATTGTTGTAGTAGGAAGATAAGGCAAAAAGAGAGAACATTTGTTGGAAAGCCCAAATGAGCCAGGTGGCAGAAGCAGAAAGTGAACTTACAAATACAGTCCTGGGGTACTGGTTAGTGCGGCAAGAAACTTGTTGCTGATCCTTGAGCAGTTTTAGTTGCTCCAAAGCATTGCAAACATTTGTTGAAAATTTATATATAACAGATAAAGTATGTGGATTTTTTTTTTGTACGTTCAGGTGCTGAAGACCCAGATGGAAGCAGACAATATGGCAGCAAAACTGGAGGAGTGTGATAAAGAGAACAAGATGCTAAAGGATGAAATGAACAAGGAGATTGAACTGGTGACTATTCCTCTAAAGACTGATACATTGTAGACATTCATAGACTCATAGAGTGGTTTGGGTTGGAAGGGACCTTAAAGCTCATCCAGTCCAACCCCTGCCTTGGACAGGGACCCCTCCCACCAGCCCAGGCTGCTCAAAGCCCCGTCCAACCTGGCCTTGAACACTGCCAGGGAGGGGGCATCCACAGCTTCCCTGGGCAACCTGGATCTTCATGGATCTTAATGTTCTGAATGTAGTGAAAAATGGTTGTGAATAGGAAAAAAAAAAAGGCATATCTGAATTGGCCTTTCCCATTCGTTTTTGTCGCGGTCGGGACGGACAAAGCGACAAGACAACAAGTGTTGGCATAGCACAAATAACCTTTATTTTTTTTCTTCCCCATCTATTTATACTCTCTTTCCCCTTAGTTTCCCCAGATGTGTTGTCTTCTTATTGGTTCAAAGTTATCATGTTTCTTTTTCATTAGATAATATTTTCACAGTTCATCACAACTCAGCACTTCCACCAAAGGAACACGGACACATCAGTTTGTGATCAGCACTTTCCTCAAACCTCAGTTTGCTGTCAGCACTTTCCTCAAACTTATTTATCTTGCAGTTCTTCTTGTTCCTGTTTATTCTCTCAAGGGTAGACTGGAATCTTCTCAAGGTCAAAGTCACCCTGTCCAAGGGCCTCAGTCCAGCTGAGGTCCCCCACAAGTTTTTCTCAATTCTACAAAATTCTGTTCATTCTGCAAAACTTATTGAACATTTAGCAGCTTTTTTGACTACATGCTGTTCTTCAGGGGTGTTTAGTGTGTCCTTTGTTACACAAATAATGGCTTAGAACAGTGGACTATGTTATGCCATTTTCTGATGTGGAACAGCTGTCCTCAAAAAAAACCCCAAAAACAAGCTTCTAGTAAAATCGAAGCCCAGGATACAAAACACTCACTCATTTTCACGCCATCCATAGGGAATGCCAAATTCAAAGAGAAAGCCATTTGGTCTAGGAGAAGACCTTAGGCTTTGAATTCCAACACTGGCCAAATATCCACACGGTGTCATTGTGGTTGTAGACTAACAAAGCTTCATTGAAGTTGAGAAACTTTTTAGTCTTGACCTTATGAACATTTGAAAGTTCTCCATGTTCTATCCTTTGGCTGTAGGAGCGTATACAGTTCCAGAGCCGGCTTGCTGAACTGGAAAAGCTGCCCGAGATCCTAAGGATCACAGAGACACAGCTCGCAGAATGTCAGAAGCAGCTTCAGATGAATGAGAAGAAGAATATGGACCTGTCTGCCATGATGGCAGATCTTCGTCAGCAGGTAAGGGACTGGCAGAACACACCTGAAGCACTGCAATCCACAAGTCTTGAGACCAAGATGAATTCGTAATCACAGGAAGGTTCAAACTTCATCTCTTGCTCTCGTCTCTTTGAAAAGATTAAACGTGCAAAATAAAGGTGTGTGCCATGTCTGTGTGCAAGAAGTTAGTGGCGTAGCTAGTAGCATTCCTTACTATGGGAAAGGTTTGTCATCCCTTGGTGCAGAACCTTACTGGGACTTGAATAGCAGCAGTGACAACGCTTGCGAATGCCAATACTCCATTCTGTTACTTCCGTCATCTTCTCAGCTTTCCATCCTGTGGTTTTCTGCTGATAGAGCTGTCCCAACCTTGTTTCCTCACCCTGATTTCAGGTTGTTTTCCCATTCCCTGTTTTTTGTCCCCACAAGGACTGTGTAGGTATTACAGGACAATCACAGACAGGCCTGACTCCTACAACCATGCCTCAAGACACACAAATCACCCTGAAGTCTGACTGTTTTGCTGTGATTGGCTTGGAACTATAAACCTTCCCGATATGCCTTTGTGGGCTGCTGTCACATATATGGCTGCTTTTAATGTGTGTGCTTTGCTGTGCTTACGGGTGGCTGCTCTGCATGCAAGTGTCTATGGACCTGGCTTTTCATTTGCAATAGGGAAGAATTTTCTCATACCTTTCCAAACATTAATTGGAAGCGCCAACAAAACGGATGTTTAGTGCTTTCCTTTTCTATCCATGGTTGCTTTTCTGGGGCTCTCCAGAAATTATGAATTGAGCGTGTTTCCGTCTGGAGAGCTGCATACGTTTTAGGTGGTTGGTTGCGTGTGTGTAGTGACTACTCTGTAAAGTAATTATTTACTGTAATTTTTAGATTGAGCTCCAGGGGGACAAAATGGAGATGACAAGAGAGAGGTATCAGTCTGCCCAGGAGGAGAAAAAGCAGCTCACCTTCAAGGTGGAAGAACTAGAAAGGTTAGAAATATTAGGCTCTCTTGCTCTCTCAACCTTCCATTTCCATCCTCTTTCCATTGTTTTTTTCAGGGGATTCAAACAGCTTCAGTCTTGTTCCAGTTCCCCACATTCCAGGATTCAGTGCATTTGCTTATCCCACAACGGTCTCTGATTCAGTAGCTGTCCACTGGAGACTTAAAGGTTTTTGCAGCACCTTTTATGAATGTTGTTAGGAAGGATGGTGGCTTATATGGCAGATAAACCAACTTCTTGTCCAATGTAGCCTGACAATTTTGAGGTTACTGCATATTATAATATCTTTACTCGTGTTCATAAACTCCTTTTAGTGACAATGTCTGGGAAAGTGCAGGTGTGTGGATACACTGTATGTCCTTCAACCTTTGAAATTTCGATTTGAGGAATGGAGAAATGTTTCTTTGGGCTCTCACCTTTCAAGTGGGAATAGAATCTATTTCCAGAGTAGGCAGGACCTGACAAAAAGGCAGACTGAAACACCCTCCATTTAAAATGAATAAGTTTCCTTCCCTTATTGTCTTAACCTAGAAAACTAGAGACAACAAGCGCCCAGAACATAGAATTCCTTCAGGTCATAGCAAAACGTGAGGAGTCGATCCACCAGTGTCAGCTGCGGTTAGAGGAGAAGACTCGTGAATGTAGCTCTTTGGCACGTCAGTTGGAGATGGCCATTGAGGATGCCAAAAGACAAGTGAGTAATTCCTTGTGTTTGTGAATTTTCTCAGAACTACCCAGACTGTCAAAAGAGAACAGTGAGAATGCACAAAATACCTCCTCAGCCTATGACCAAATTCATGAAAATCATCGTGTTCAGTGAAATAAAAACAATAAAATGTGCTGGTACTGTTTGTCAGCACTTCAACCCTTGAAAAACTAAACCTCATGTTCTAGTTTGCAACAGAAGAGAGGAAAGCATAAGACTGAGTTGCTGCTTCTGTTTGAGAATGTGTCCAGCTAAACTTTATAGGGTTTCTGCAGGCAATGGCCTATGGAAAAATCATAGATACCCTTTTATACCAAAGATGTTGTTCTGTTGTTTCGTGTAGGTGGAACAAACTCGAGAACGAGCAATGTCTAAAGAGAGGACAGCCCAGTCCAAGATGTTGGATTTGGAGACCCAGCTGAGTAGGAATAAAACAGAGCTGAACCAATTACGTCGGAGCAAAGATGATGTGAGTGACTTGCAAGGGATAGTCTTGCTGTGCTGGTGGTGTCCTGGCAGCAACTGGAGTCCATAAACCAAGGTCCTATGGATTGTTGCAAAAGTCATGCAGAGCTTTGTCTGGATGTGACATGCTGTTAATGTGTGTCCCTGACAGAGGTGTGCTGTGACATGTCTGTTATGTCACAAATTCAGGAATGCAGACTCTCATTTGCTTATTACTTGTAGCTGTGACCTGAATGAACTTGCTCTAAACTTGTGTGTGTGAGAAAAGAATCAGAACTTTCTCACGTTCAAATGAGATTTACACCAGATATCATGGACAGATTTCAACTTCATTTACTAGGCTTGGTTATCTGAGAGAGAATGCAATTTATCTTGTAGAGGGAAGTCTTTCTTCTAGAAGAAAGAAGGGGAATCCTTCATAATGTCTTATTTACCCTGCTGGTTTTCTTGGAATTGGGTTGGTACATGGATCAGGTCAAGCTGCTTTTCAGAAAAGAGTGCTTAGTTCCTCATAACTGTAGCTAATCGGTTTTAAAAGCTCAACTGATAGGCTATGTTTTCTCCTGGCTTTTATCAGTGGGTTGCTGAATAGAGTTGGAAAGCAGCAGAACAAATTATAAATATCATAGCACCTTCTATGGCAATGCCATCTACTGCTGCGCTAATTCTTGCTCTCCTCAGCACTTCTGGCGAACAGCTTAAATTTAACATGAATGGGATGAATGTAACCTACGGCCTGTGTTTTGTTCTTCCTTATGTAGGCAGAGCGCCAGTACGAAAGCCGCCTGCAGGATTTAAAGGATCGGCTGGAGCAGTCAGAGAGCACCAACCGCAGCATGCAAACCTATGTCCAGTTCCTCAAGTCTTCCTATGCCAATGTTTTTGGTGAAAGTGCCTTGCTGGGCTCCCCCAGCCGCTTTTACCCTTCTCTATGAGGAAAATGCTCTCCCTGCACTTCTGCTTCTAAGCACAAAAGGAGCCCTACTTCAAAGCCATATGTTGTTTAGAAAATAGGTTGGCGTTTCAGGGTCACTATTAGAAGTTTTCCTCTTTTCCTTGCAGCATGAGATGCTAAAATGATGGTGGCACAGGTCCTAAGTGTAGAGTATCAGCAATACCAGTTTGGTGTTGCAGGTTGGCATTACACTATAAACTGTGCCCCAAAACCAGATGGTTTTGCATATGATGGAAAAAGTCCTTTTCATCCTGTAAGGTCCTGATACTTTCAGCTCTTAAAACCTGTCAGCAGTTGTTGAGCATGTTCATGTTTATAAGAACTCTTCCTTTTTATATGTCTCTTTTTCATTCTGTTTCTGTGTTAGGGAGATCGTGTGTGGGGGGGAGGGGGGAATGGGGGTGTTTGTGGGGTTTTCTTTTTTCTATATTTTTTTTAAACTGTTGAACACTGTATTGATTAATTGGATGGTGGGAGAGGGTCCACTCACCAGCAGAGTGAAGCTGAAAATTACTTAAGTGCCTGAGCTTTACACTTACAAGTGATTATCCCCTGAACAACCCGTGTTTGAAAACCCTTTTGTACCAGAAATAATGATTTTGTTTGGGATTTTTCCCCGACCTGATTCTTGTGTACTCTCTGATTCTCACCTTTTTCTTTTTCTGAGTGTGATGCTAATTGTTGCTTTACTCCTCTCACCCTGATATTTCCTGATGCTGAATATCCCCAGGGCTGAACCAAAACTGTCACTTCAAAGGAAAGATTATGGTTTAGGCTCAGTGGCACTACAGTTGGTGTCTTGCTGTGAATGCCACGTGAGTTCAGGGTGTGCATGCAATACTGACTTAGTCTTAAGCCAATTAAAGAGCAGCTATGGATATTCAACTTCTTCATCCAACCAGCCTGCACCTTCTGGAAAACTGGGTCTTCAATGTGTTGGGTCCCTAAAACTCATGTGCTCTATATTGCCCTGTTCTTTCCAGTATATGGTTCTTATGGGGGCAAAAATAAATGTTTTTATTTTTATCTCTTTTGTATCCTATTTATTTGTCATAAAGGTTTTCTAATAGTTTTTGAGAGAGCAATTCTGTGTTTGACACTTCAAAAATCCTAAAGATGCTATGGTAAACCAAACAATGAACTACATTTCCTGTTTATTGTGATGGATCTAGGCTTTACTGGCCTTTATATTGGAAAAACCACCCCAGCCAGGGCTGGGGGTGCAGGCCTCTACACTCTCGACCCTTTCCATGTGCTGTGGGTGGCTGCTTCTCCCTGCCCCTGCAACCCAGGGCAAAATGCAGCAGTGACCTCCAACCCTCTCTCCCGTGGACCCTCCGCGAGAATACACAAAATAAGGGGCAGTGCTCGGCGGTGCCAGTGCCCAGTGAAGTGGTGCCTGTTGGCTGGGGCGGGGGGGGGGGGGGGGGGGCGGGGCCCCGCCCCCCCGCCAGGGGGCAGCCGCCGCCCTTAGCGCCCGCTCTGCGCAGGGTGGGGAGCAATCGGCGGCGCCCCGGAAGCGAAACGAGGGGGTGGGGTCAGCGGGCTACCGGGTCGCCGTGAAGCCGATCGCCATGCAACCGCGGGAGCTCCGTTGGGAGACTCTGGCTGCTCTGCGCTCCTCTGACAAGGGCCAGCTGAGCTACCGCCGCCACTGGCTCCAGGATGAGGGGAGGGCTCGCTGCCCGCGAGGGGCTGGGAGCCGCGGCGGGTGTGGGG